CATTAAATATGTTTATCAATGTAGTTTTTACATTGATTTTATCCGTAATTTTTACATCGATAATCGTTATAAAATCTCATCATAAGTAACATTTTACATTGATTTACGATATAAAATTCTACTCCATCTAAATACTTATAAATCTGAATCGTAGTAAAATTTTACATCGATCTTGATTTACACTCCAAACAAACATCAACAAAACTAAATCGATGATAAAGTTTTACACCTCTTCCAAACACAGCCTAAAAAATTTCGGACGTGGTACACTACAATTTGGGCCTATAATTTTTATCTAACAGTCAACACTCCAAAGCCATTTTTTCCTATATCTGCTTACACAAATATAATTTCTATCTAACAGACGACAATAAGCAACTCTTGGTTTTATTTGCCTTACAAACAACTTAGGACTCATTAAAAAAAATGTGCTGTCTATGATTAAAGTCCAGAAATGATGAATAAATGTAGAGAATCAACTCCTAACCAGATCCTATATGGTCTGTAAAGCTTAATGAACATTTTATACATATCTTATCATGTAGTATATTACATATTATTTGATTCAACATATTTGCATTTACAAGTCTAGCTCAAGCCTGTGTAGGGCCCAGCTTGGGCTTATATATCTTTCAGGCCTGAGGTGTGGTCTTAGCCAAACATGGGCCCAGGGTATTCTCAATGCTAAACCTAGCCCGATCTATAATCACCCAAAATCAATTGGGTGGGTTTGAACCGATAAGAGAAGATAATTGATATTTATATTTTAGGGTCCGTTTGGTTTATAGTTGGAATTATAATCAAAATCCTTCATAATCGGAATCGGAATTGGAATGGTATACTTCCATAGTTTATTTGGTTCAGACAGAAATGTGAATGGGAATTAGACTCAACTAGAATGAGATTTTATTCTCAAAGGAGGGGGAATGGAGAAATGCCATTCCACCAAGAATTTGGAATAAGGTTCCAATTTCACCCAAACAAACAGTTGGAATCGAAATGGCCCATTCTGATTCCGATTCCAAATCCCTATTCCTCTAAGTCATATGGGCTCTTAGTATAAAACTATTCATTTGTTAGAAATAATTTTTATTGGGCAAGTGGCATTATTTTATTTATTTTATTTTTTGTTTTTGTTGCTGTTGAATTTGATAATAGATTAAAGAGAACAAAATCGGAAGTCAGATGAGCCAAAGAGAAGTTGGACGAATTTGGTTGTTTCCAAAAAGGTTTGCACTACCCGCAAAATCAGAGGTCCTTTGAGGAGTGTCCCAGGAAGAACCCTTTGACACTTACTAAGTCAATAAATGGATGAAGAGACAATAGACTGGGTTGAGGAGGTTGGACCAAAGAGGAAAATAAAATAACAAGGTATGAAAGCCAAGCGGGGCTAAAGTGACCAAAGAGGAAAATAAAAGAACAAGGTATGAAAGCCAAGCCGGGCTAAAGTGTACATACCATATCATAAGTGATGCAGTGCAAGTTCATGCCCTGAGAATCACTATATCATTTTAAAGAAAAGGCAAATGAGCCTACATTTGAACTCACTAATGGGCTTTTAACAGCTATATTGGTTAATGGGTTTTAAAAGTTAGTTCATTAAAAGTTTCAATAACTTCTAACAGTTATTTTTTCATTTAATGTTATAATAGTTAGTTTCCCATTTAATGTTCCAACAATTAGTTTTATTCTCTATATAATGCCTTATAATATCAAGTTCCTTGCTTTTGTTTTGAAATTTGAGAGTTAAGAGAAGCCTTTCTTTGGATGAATGAGTCCCTTATTCTTTGGGTGAATGAGACTCAACCTTATTGCCTCATATTGTAAGCCATTTCCGATTAATGAAATTCCATCCAATTTTCTTCTTCTTCTTCTTCTTTTTTCTTTGAGCATTCTTTTTTTGTATTTTCTCTTCATATTTGAATTGCGTCAATAAGAAATCTCACTTACTTATAGGGGAGGTTCTATGCTCATCAAGAAGTTCTAATCTAGAGATGTTTTTCCGAACTGGCCTGAGGAACATGTGCATGAGAGCACCCTTATTCAATCTCAGAACCATATGGCTAGCTTTGGTTGGCGGTCAAATTTGGCCTCGTCACTTTTCTAGTTAGCGGTCAAATTTGATCTCATGCATGAGAGTACCCTTATATGGACATTTTAAAAGGAGAGGAGTGTATGAGAGCCTAGAGGATCCCTTGCCCTCCATCCTTCCCTTTATCCATTTGGAATATGCGGACTATACTCGACCATTGGTGCTCCTTCTTACTGTAAATTTAATCTATCCATGTTCTTATACATTAAAATTGTTTAAATATTATACATTTATCATGCATTTAAATTATACATGAACCTAGAGCTATTAATGGACCGGATGGATATTACTCTAAGCCGACCATTTCCAATATGAATTCATTCCAGATGGACCAGATCAAATCAAATCCAATGAAAATTTGAAGGTACAATTCAATGTCGATACTTTTCAATCTGTTCAAGTTGGTTTTAATTTAGATTGGGTTCATCCCACACCTGGTCCATTGACACCCTACTTGTATCTTCTGTTAATTGATCAGATATTTGTTCAATCTGACCAAATCCAATATTAATCCATCACACATAGACCAGGTCCAATTCAATCTAATTCATACTTTGGATCATTAAGGATAAATTTGTCCAATTCAATGTCTTATTGGTCTGTCCAACCAATTCAAATTGATTTTGATTTGACAATTCTAACCCAAACCTGATCCATTAACACCCTTACATGAACCTAATCCAGCCCAGACCAAAATTAGGCCTAACCAGATCAGATCTTTAATCAAAGCCCAGATGCTGTAGCAATTCCAAACAGGTATCTGGTTCTCATCCTCACTCTGAAGTCCTCTATGTCAAAATTGGACACAGGATATGAAAAAATTATCATGACTTTAGTGCTCTTATCAGATTGTTGTCCAATGATCAGCTAGTGTAATGAGTGTTGTCCTACAGAAAAAAAAAAAGAAAAAGAAAAAAAGATGATACATATAGAGGCAGTTTGGACTACAGGATTATTAATGTGGCCACTCACATCATCCACTCAAGTATATACATATACATACCTTTCTTTTTTTTTTCAATGTTTTATAATTATATAGGTGCAATGCTACTAACAGCCCAATACAATCATCCTCTCTCTCTAAACTGGAAATCTAGTCATCGGGGGTAAACATGAATTGAACTTTTCACGACTTATTTGAGATATGTAGACTCGTTTGTTAGACAAACTGAGTTTGAGTCTAATGAAGTTGGCTCGTAAGGTTTGTTATCCTAATCGAACATTAATAAGTGCTCTTATTTGGATAAGTGTTTCCCAAGAAACACCTACCGGGATAAGTGCATTTACTCAAATTAAAAAATCATTTTACCAAAGATGCGAACAAGGTTCATGGTAAAGATTAGAAGGTAATATAATCTATTGCTCTATTGTACGTTACAACCTCCAAAGATGAATACTTATTAGTTAAAGGTCCTCCATTTGCACCACCGCCAAATTAGAAAGAAAAGAACAGAAAGTTCACACCTAGCTAGAAAAGACACTTACATAAGATGTGCTGTTCGATCCAATGATATGCTGTCCAAGACAGTTCCAATCGTGAGGTTTTGCAATTGTTAACTCAAAATCCAATCAGATTCTAGGTAGGCCAAATGGAAAATCAATTAAAGAAGTAGGGGGAGGTGGTAGAGAGCAAAATTCAGGTTTCCATGGAAAAGATCCAACCGGGAAAAAATTGCAGAAAAAGGTAACACTTCTCAGAGGGATCAACAGGCTTGGAAATTTTTTGTTGAATTAGCAAACAGAGAGCCTTGGTGGAGCTTAACAGTAATGTGAACACTCTTAATTAATAATTCTAGCAAGCAAGGTTGTGCTCATGGTTATATTTAATTTGTTCCTAATGAAATTGTTTGTCGAGCTTTTCTCTTACAGGGGGAGAAGTTTTCAAGTGAAAGCCAGATATAAGATGAATTGAAATCAAATCCACATATGTTAAAAACATATGCCATATATCAAATTGAATTTGGGTATATACCAAATTTTTATAGTTTTGTATTTGAATATAACCCTATTCAAATTCGATCTGATGATCTGTTTGCTCCCCTAACAATATGGAACCAAATCCAACGGAGAGCTGAAATGGTTGTTTATGAGTGTAATGGGCTTCATAGTAACCCTGGATCCATTTAGGTGGAACTGTAAAAGTGAAAGAAAGTAATGGGGAGTGCTTTATTTCTTCAATATGAAGAAGGTGCTAGTGTTTGTGGTTTTTACCTATTGGGAAGATTTGAAAAGTTGGGGATACACAGGGAATGTGAAGGGAGGAACATTTTTTTTGGTGTTAATGGAGAGAAAAACGTGAGAAAGGAGAAAGTTTAGGAGAGAATTTAAAGGGGAAAGGAGCAATATTTTAAAGGGGAATAACTACATCGAGACTTGAGAGAGAAATATAACAATTTAAAGACATAATTATGAAATTATAGGTAATAAAGGACGAATCATGAGGAGAAGAGGATACTTACTTTAAAATATTGTTATGATGGGGCCGTTTGGTAACGGCTGAAGTTGCTTAATTGACAGAATTGTTGCTTTGTCTTTTAATTGCTAAAATAATTAAATAATAAAATTTTCAAGGATATGGTGATCTACAACTTCAGTTTCAGCCATTAAGTAACTCACAAGTCACAACCTCCTCAAAAAATCATTCACTAAAAGCCAAAACAATAAGCTTTTCAGTTCAGCATCCTCAGCAATTATCAAACGGCCCCTTGGCCAGTTGGCCGTGAGGCTTTGTTTTTCTTTCTTCCTTTTTATTTTTAGCAAAATCCGTAATTGCTTTTCACACATGTCTCCACATTGAGATGATGTGGAAACATGCGTGGAATGAGGGGAGCACCGATGTAAGCTTAAACAACCACCCTTTTATCTATCTATATATGCATAGATTTTTAATTTTCCTCAAGCTGTCATCATGGAAGGGGGTGGTTTCGGCTATGGACTCTTAGAGAAGAAGCCTCATTCGCTACGACCACTTCCGCCATTAACTGCCATAGACAGATTTCTATGGAGCCCAAGCGACTTATTTCCGAAACACACCGAGATAAACAAGATAAAGCGAGACACGGTTATCTCTGCAAATGGGTTTAGGAGTTTTTCGTCCCCAAGTCCAAGTGGAGGTGGAGCAAGAGCAGCCGACGATGGTTACTCGAGCGGGGTTTTATTACCTAGCAGCACTCAAGATATGAGCTTCATTGATGGACTTTTTGCAGAAGGAGATTCAGTTAATTATAGGCCTGATAGGAATCGCAGTGAGGGTGTAAGAGAGGAGATGAAACTGGGAGAGAAAAACGCAACATGTATGGGAAAGAGAGTGAAAGGTGGCTCTTCTGCTAATTTAATTAAAGGACAGTGGACAGATGAAGAAGACAGGTGATGATATCGGAGACTTCCAGAGGACATTGTTTGCTTTGTTCCTTCTTATAAAATTTTTACTTGATTATGTATGGTTTTGATGTTTTGATGTTTTCTTTCTTTTTTTTTTCATGTTCTGAAGATTATTAGTCAGATTAGTGAAGCAATATGGTGTTAAGAAATGGGCTCTGATTGCTCAGAAGTTGGTCGGTCGGGCTGGGAAGCAGTGTCGAGAGCGATGGCATAATCATCTACGCCCAGATATCAAGGTTTCTTCTCCTCTTCTCCGTTATTTTTCTTCGATCAGCTTATTCACTTTAATTCTCTTGTCCGCATGTTCTGCTTCTTTTTTTATTTGCACCGGTCATGATGTCTCGATGAAGAAGTCTCTCACTTTAGGCCTTTCTGCATCTGAGTTTTCTGTATCTGAAATTCTTCATGAATTCCGGTCTTGTACACATAACATAGATTGTGCACTTTGGGACAAAAATTGATGCCTTTATGTACAAACTTATGCCTTTCAGTTAGTCTGTTATTATTATTTTATTGTTGCTTTTTGCTGGTTTAATTAACAAGGCAAAAAGGGGAACTTCATTTGTTTGTCTTGTTTGCTGATTAAATGTTTCCGTATAGAATAAATTATATGTTGTCGTAACATCCCAGAAGTCGGTTTTCAGTTGCGGATTCTTCTATACCAAACCTCAGAATTCCTTACTTAGCCTTTGTTATTTTCCTATCACGTTCCTTCTTCATGGCTTGTTGTTGTTCAGCTAGCCTTCATTTTCATGTGACACAGGAAGAACTTTTCCTAAAAAGCATCCTATATTACGTTATAAATTAAGATTTCTTACTTGGAATTTTCTTTGGACAAAAGTACAAAACTTCATCAATACTTGATAATTATTTTTGCATCCCATATACCAATTTATGATGCATTCAAGATTCAACCATGCTTTATGATTGATTTTTTCTTTCCACTTATAATTAATGCTTTATGCTTGCTATTCTCTCAAATTTTCTTGGGTAACTTTGTTGTAGAAGGATACATGGAGTGAAGAAGAAGAGAAACTGTTGGTTGAAGCTCATGAGAAGATAGGGAACAAGTGGGCAGAGATTGCAAAGAGAATCCCTGGAAGAACCGAAAATGCAATAAAGAACCACTGGAACGCCACCAAAAGAAGGCAGAATTCAAGGAGAAAGATCAATAAAGCAGCAAACCAAGGAGAAAAATCTCAGTCATCTATACTGCAAGAGTACATCAGAAGAAAGAGCATGAAAGAAAACTCCACCATTGTCAATCCATCCCTCCTCACTAGCTCCACTCTCTCCACAAACCCATCAAGACAATTCAATGCTGTCACACTTCCAGACCCACCATCATCTGATCACTCAACACCAAGAGATGATTCTGCCCGCTCATATGACGAGGAATTGCTCTTCATAACAGAATTCTTGGAGAGCATTTATCAACAACCATCTGATTATAGTACGGTTGTGGTCTCTACAGAAGGGGATACGTTTGATGGTTGGAATCTTCAAAAACATATGTCGTCTGATGATGAGCTTCTGCCCTTTGCCGAGACGGATGAATGTGGTTTCTCCGCCTCTACCGTCCCAATCACAAACATGCATCATAATGTTGATGACATCCCAAGAGAAGTCACCAACCCATCATCACATCTGTATTCAGATGTTTACATCGCTTGTCTCCTGAATGGATCAACTCCATCATCTTCCACAAGTGATCAGAACTACTTCTCTGACAATCCAGAAATCGACCTGCTGATGGACATGGAACAGTCTTGTTTAAATGTTAAGAAAGAGATGGATTTAATAGAGATGGTTTCTTCTTCTCGGTTCTCTCAAAGCAATACGTAGCGGCAGCGTTGTGTCCCGAATATGAATCTACTGGAAACTCTTTTCTTAACTTGGAGGTCTCATAACTGTTCTATAGATTGATTGAAGTTTGATCTTCGCAGAAATGTGATTCTCGTGTAGGATTATTGACCGAACAGAAAGCGTGGTTCTCTGTTCTGTAGTAAGCGTTTCTGACAAATACTTAAATGTCGAGTTGTACTGCAGTCATCTCTCTAGCTTTGACGAGAATTATTATAGGAGAAACTCAGAAACTTACTTAAACATCCCTGTATTTTCTGACAAATGCTTTGTCTCGAACAAAAGTTGACATAATGCATTTATCAAAATTTATGAGTAGGTTTTGATTAATTAAAGCTTTTTCTTTTTTTTGGTACTAATTAAAGTTTTTTCCGTGTCATGTCTTTCTGAAATCATAGATCATAGATTTTCAGATATATATATATATATATATATATATATATATATATATATATATATATATATATATATNATATATATATATATATATATATATATATATATATATATATATATATATATATATATCTTTTGAGAGGAAGGCTATAGGTATAATGTGAGCCGGGCCGGGCCAGAAGAGCCCACTTTTTTTTGTGGCACTCACATGGCTTGTGCCCTGTGAAATAATTGGCGCAATGAAGTGAGATGACATCTTGGGCATTTGAAGAGAGAATAATATAATGGTATTAACTGTATATATTCATAACAAGGACATAATTATAATTCTATAAATGAATTCGGATGGGATCCAGTCACATTCACATCCGATCTTGGATCCAAATCCGATACATCAGATTTTGGTTCGGATTCAAATTTAATTCCAATCCATCTTATTCTGCTTAAAATGAATAAGAAGTTAACACAAGTTTTGAAAAGTTAATAATTTTTAATTAATACATATGAAACAAATAATAAATGTATTTAAATATAAAATAGGGTTATTTATTAAAACACCCCAATAATTTCATTAATTTATTAAAACATACCTTATAGTTTGTGTTTTACTAAAACATCCTCTACAGTTTGCGATCAATTTACTTAATCGACCTTTCATTAGATAAAATAGAAAATGACAATTTTAACCCTAATATCCATTCAAATAAATTTAATCAAAAGAAACTAAAAACGAAAATACCTTTTCTGCTCCTAGTAAAACACAAACAACCACTCTATTTTACTCTATTTAGTCAATTTTATTTTCTATACAAAAAGTGTTAGGGGTACTTTTGGAATAATAAACCATGGATCCATACCCTTGAACATTTTTCACTCAGTTTAGGGGTACTTTTGGAATAAACAACCATGGGTTCTTGCCCTTAAACATTTTCTAGTTACTTCAGGTGATCGTGCTACTATTTTTAGATGGTAAGATAAATAGTTCTTAATGAAAGGTCGATTATGTAAATGGTTTGTAAACTATAAGGGATGTTTTAGTAAAATGCAAACTATATGGTAGGTTTAAGTAAATCTGTGAAACTATATGGGGTGTTCTAGTAAATGACCCTATAAAATAGGGAAATTTCCCGATTAGTACCCTATACTTTGGGCCTAGTGCCACTTTTGTTCCTGAACTTTAAAACGTGACAATTCAATATCTGGACTTTCAAAACGTGTCAATTTAGTACCTACTATTAACTAGCTCGTTAACCAACCGTTAAGTGGCATTTGAAAAGACATAAATGCCCTTCGAGTGTCACCTAATTTTCTTTATCAACCATCCAAACGTTGATAAAAATACAGTCCCAAATCCTTGCCTCTTCTATTCAAGAAAGTTGGGGTCACCGGAATGCCTATTGAGACGTGATCCTAACTTTCTTGAATACAAGAGGCAAGGGTTTGGGACTGTTCATTTTTTGTCAACATTTGGATGGTTGATAAAGAGAATTAGATGACACTCAAAGGGAATTTGTATTTTTTCAAATGCCACTTAATGGTTGGTTAACGGATTATTTAACGACATGTACTAGATTGGCATGTTTTGAAAGTTCAGCTACTGAATTGTCACGTTTTAAAGTTCAAGGGCCAAAGTGATACAAGGCCGAAAGTACAAGGTACTAAGAGGGAATTCTCCCTATAAAATACTATAAAAAGAGTGAATTAGGTGTTTGTAGAGACAAAAATACACAAGGGATGTTTGGAAGCGTGACCGTTTTTCCGAAAAACGGTGCCACGTTGGATCCACATAGGTGATTCAACAAACACCCACATACATAATTGTTTGGTTCAAGCATTTTTTGAAAAATCGCTTAAAAACAGGCATGACTCGTAAATTGGGACCCAACTGTTGCATGAAACGTCAAACTTGACATTTCATGCTTCGTTGAACTGTTGCCCCAACGGTTGGCTGATATGGAAAATACGTGGCAGAAAAATGATGATGAAAATCACCTTACCAAACAACATAGTGTTGCTCACCGCCTACATGGCAGAAACACTCCCAAACATATCAAGGCGTTTTTTATGAAAAACAGGTCTTGCAAGCATGGGCATTTTTTTTTTGAAAATCGATCCCAAAAAACGCCCATGCTTCCAAACACCATCTAAATGTTTATGATAAAGGAAACACATATATGATAGATGTGAGGATGTATGGTTGGTTATCCATGAAATCGGATTCAGTCAACGCAAGGTCCTTGCCAACAACCTTTATAGCCTTGCATTGGAAATATCTCCCCGAAAACACAGAAGTACGTAGATGTTCCCAATGCAAGGCTGTTTGAATGGGTCTTGCATTAACTGAAGCTGATCTCATTATCCATGTATGCTCCTGTGCATCGCATCTTTGCTTTGATTGGATTGGAAGCATTGTTACGTTTTTCCCATTGCGTAGACCCACCAGGAAAATCGTTGGGTAATTTGAATGATTGAATTTCCAATTTTGAACAAATTAACAACTCGAATCCCAAAGCCATCATCAATAGGGGTGTCCATGAAAAACCGAACCAAATCGAGAAAATTGAATCGCAAAATGCAGTTAATCGAATCAGTCGGTTCGGTTTTGGTTCAAAATTTTTGAAAAACTAAAGGACCGGTTCGGTTTTCAGTTAACCTATAAAAAAATCGACGGTTAACCGAACCGACCGGTATATATATTTATATGTATATTTTATATATATTTTTAATATATGTCACATATTTTCTATGAATTTTATATAAATATATATTCATTATATATAAATATATACTTATATTATATTTATAATGATCTATTTACAAATATATTATATACTTTTAAAATATTTATAATATATTACATATCATTTATTATTTATAATATAATATTATACATATATTTATATAATATATATTATAAATATAAAAAACCAAAAAACCGAACCGGTCAAAAACCGAAACCAGCGGACCAGTTAACCGGTGGTACCAGTTTGGTTTCGATTTGGCAAAATGAAAAAACCGGTACCACCGGTTTGGTTTACAAAAAGGGGCCCGAACCATGGACACCCCTAATTATCAAGCATCATGCATGGACAATAACTAGGGGTGGCCACAAGCCGAGCCTTTCATGAGCTATTCGAGAGCTTGAAGATCGCTTTAAACCAAGCTTTGAGCCGAATTTGAGCCTAATATATAGGCTTGTTTGCTAATCGAGTCAAGTTCGAGCCTAGTGAAACTCAACTCGTGAGGCTCGCTAGCCTAGTATTAAATAAATAATTTTTATTATATATATGTACATACATATATATAATAAATAATTGTATTATATATATAATAATATTTTTATTTTTTACGCATAATAGTAAATAATTTTTATAACTTAATTTTTATCTTAAGAATAAAAAAATAATTTTTACGCATTATAGTCAAACTTGAACCAAGCTGAGCTCGAACTTGCGAGCTACGAATCGAGCCAAGCTCGAACTCAAGTAACTCAAATTGAGCTCGAGCTCAAATAGCTAAGTATCCGTCTCAACTCGAATCCACCCCTAACAATAACAATACCAATAAATAGAATCAAATATAAAATTTAAAAGCATTTTGATTTTTTATACAAACGCCCCACATGCACATCTCAGTGCGCATTGGAAACATTTTTCATACTTATCAATGGGAGATATTCCCAATACACAGTTGGGATGTACAATGGGGCACAAATGTGCATTCTTTGGCCTCATGGACTGTTCCCCAAGCTTTCGCCTTCCAAATTCGGATCCAATGGTAAGAATTGAAGTGGCATTTGATAACACTTTTTAGAAGTCTAGTGTTGCCTCTGAAAATTGATCTGAAATTTGTTTTCAGATCGGAAATTATAAGCTTGCAGTCCGGCTCCCAACGTGCTCCAGAACTAGCACAAAGTCGAAAATACCCTTTCAAAAATTTTGAAATGACGCGATTTACCCTGTTTAACCCCAAAACCTATAAAATTCATTCATTTGTGTTTTCTCTATCGAGCAAAGGAGAAGGAAGATCTCCGCTACGCGTTTGAAGATTTCTCCAGGTTTCATGGCCGCCTACACGTCTGAATATGGACTCACAAAGCATAACCAACATCCAACTGCAATCCCCCCCAGCAAACCGTACCCGCATTCGGAAGATCGCCGCTGCGCGTCTGAAGCTCTACGTTTCACGACCGCCACCTGCACGTCTGAAGATTGCTCTAGGTTTCATGGTTGCCTACACATTTGAATATGGACTCACAAAGCATAACCAACATCCAACTGCAAACCCTCCTAGCAAACCGTACCTGCGTTCGGAACATCACCGCTGTGAGTCTGAAGCTCTAGGTTTCATGGCCGCTGCCTGCACGTCCGAATATGCCGTCGTGTTCGACAGCAATGGCTTCTTATTGTCTCCAGCAACTGCAATCCTCCTGACAAACCGTACCTGCGAAGACTGTTCGCAGAAAACCCCACATCAGCATCGACTGCTCTGGCAATGGGCCTTTGTCTCCTTCGGAGTTTTCATGTGCCTTGACTACTCCGACAAGCACCGAAGCCTTGGGGTTCACATAAGCTTCGTCCGTTTTCAAACTCCACCTCAAGAAAATGGTCTTCACCTCCCGTTTCGTCTCCGGCAACTACAATCCCTTAACGTTTTCTTCACCACCCACGGCATCCCAAAGAATCTCATAGAAATTGGTCTTCACCGCCCTTATAACAGTAATTTTTTATTTATTATTTTGAATTGAATATAATTTACTTTTTATGATTTTTTGTATTAATTATTTATTATTTTAATTTTTATTACTGTTCATTATTTTAATGTTTTTTAACTATTTTAATATCCGCGACTAGTTATTTATTATAGGAGTAATAGTAAAATTAGGGAATTTAAGATATTAAATGTTTGATATAAAATAAACAAGCTTATTTATTTAAAGCCTCTAAAAAGTAAATCTTTCTAACTTTTAAGATTTTAGATTTCAGATTTATCAAATCTCACGGCCGGCCACTTTATAATTTAGATTCACAGTAAGGGCTTACTTATACAATATTGGTGGGGAATCGGGATCTGATTGGTGGGTGGGTACCTGTTATTAGAGGGCCCAATCGCTGGTTCAGGGGAGGGATGAGATCTGACATCTGAGCAAGTAAAGTGCTCTGCTATAACTTGACTGCACTCCACCTCAGATTTTTGAATTCAACTGCAGACTACACTTGCGCTTAACCTACCCATGCGAAAGTTTTTCAAATGGGAATTCGCCCGTCTCTCGGTCAGATTCAAACCATGTTTGGGTAGTATTTCTGCAGTCTGCAGCTCATGCTTACACCACCATAACATGGTCCCATTGTCCCAATTCTCTGATTTCCTGATTAAAGTGTTAGAGAAGGGAAGAACTATGTACCAAGATTTATTTGATTTAATGGAATTATTAATCTTTCAAAAATATTATTAGAATTAATTGTTATTAAAGGTCTTTTGATTTTAACAAATTTCATTTCAGCACCAGTTACCCGAGGAAGAGATTGGGTCATCTTTCTAAACCCATAACTGTTGTGATCAATGCTTCCATCCCATTATTTCAGTCCTTATTTTGTTTGGGCAGTCATTTCCCTCTCCTTGGCCCACTATCAGCTGCAGGAGATGGGTTGCCAAATTTCATCCATACTCTCTTATTAGATGTACTGGCACAAGCAAGCTATACACCCCTTGCTCCACGGAATGGAGGCTACACAAACCCGGGGGTAGCCCTTCCCCAACAGCCCTCTCAACAAATATGATCCAAGCAGCTTGGTTGTCTTCTCCCTAAACACATGCTTGTGTTCCATTTGCATGTTGGCTTCCCTCTATATTTCAAATCTTTCGTAGTTTATGTTACAAAATTTCTCTTGGAATTCTTTCTTTTTGTCATTCATATAAAATAAAATAAAATACTCCAAGGTATAGTAACCAGCCCAACTTCAGCTTCAGTCTTTAAGCTCACAACCTCAACATAACCACTAAAACACAACAATTATTTCATCCACTCGCTGTTATCCAACAGCTCCCAAATCAGAGACACTGAGACACATTAGGACCAAACTTTTTTTTTTTTTGATAAATAACACTTCCATTAACAGAGCAACAAACTAGACCAGACACCAGCTACAAGAAAAAGAAACACAACACTACAGAACCAACTAACAAACTACACTACTAGAAACCTAACCAACACAGAAAGCAGCTGCTGAGAAGATTATAAGTCAGTCTTTGGAAAGAATAATAATAAGCTTTTAACAAAAAGATGATATCCTGCTGCAATGCCTTTACGAGATCTTGATTAATCATACTCCTTCACAATATGTTGTGATTGCTTCAGATAACTTGAGACCTTCAAAAATCGCTTTTTAGCTTCTGCTTCCGGATAAGTAGGAAGAAGCATTAGAACAGTACATAAAACATACCATTGAATTTTAGCATGTCAAAATCCAACGGACAATATAGTATACAGAGTCATTTAAAGCTTAGTCAGTTTCTATAAATGAAGATTTCTTCGCAGTTCAATCAAAATTTAATGGATGCAAGAACAAAGATAAATTCAACTGATAAACCATATCATTGCATACGGCTTTTTATCAGTGAACTACCCAAAAGTGATCTTATTATAAAGCCATCTATTTATTCTTCTCTCAAAATTTCTGAATAAGTTAAAGAATGTTGCAGGATTATGTGAAATTACAACTGATGCACTTTCATATAATAACAGTAATAATAACTATATATTATAATTATATAGTTCCCCATACATTTGTTTTCTCAAAAGGATTTGTCGCGCTGGACAGTGCCACCTCCATTATGGATGCTTGCAATTCTTAGACATCATAAACGAATGGATCTCTGATGCCTATTTCTTATTGCTTCATTAACTGATCTTAGAATACCAATCTCTGTTTCCTAAAATAAATGAATCTCCAACTTATTTTTTAGCAGATTTTGCCTTTTTCCTGCGTCCATCCTTGAAAACTAGACAAGGCTTTACTTTTTGCCTGTCTAAGTGGCAGCAACATGCATTTTATGAGCTTCTTTCCAGGATGAGTCGGTTCCACAATCAGGACATTTTAGCCCTGGCAAAGAGAACTCCTGCGAACAGACCTAGTAACAACCAAAACATGAACAATAGCATTAAGCTAGATAAAGCTTAAAGCATAACAGTTGTCGAGAGCATTAAGTCTGCTAATTACCAAATAGTATACTGAAAAGGTTTGGCAGGCTCAGTGGAACTTTGAACAGAAATATACCAGCGATGGAGATAGGGATCTTGTTCAAGGAACCCACCAGACTGCAAAAGATGAACAAATTGTTTACAATCTCACAAATTGAACTGAGTTACTTTTTTGTTTAGAAATCCTCTACTTTGATTATACTTGTTCATGTGCATTGTGTAGCATGAGGAGGTCAGATGGATGACATATAAGTGGATGTTCTGAGGTAGATGCTTGACATTGATTGTAAAATGGCTAAAGTCCCCGTGATGATGTTATCAGACACTAACTTTGAATAATACTACAACTGTCTAGGTCACACTTGTTATGTCAAATTAAGAACACATTTAGATGGATGACGCATATTAATGCAGTGAGTTGATGTTTTGAGGTAGATGCCTGAGATAGATATGTCAAATGGCTAAAGTCTCCGTGACAATGATGTTATCAGACTGACTTTGAATACCACTGCAACTGTCTAGGCCACACTTGTTATGCCAAATTAAGAACAGATTTTGAGAATTATGGTTCATTTTATAAAGCTATTGAGGTTCACCTTACCTATAAGTAGTGGGGCCAGTTTGATTTAAAAACCACATAGAAGTAAAGCTAATGGATAGTCCAAGCAATCCACTGACTGTTGCCACAAACCAAAACATTGGAATCCTAATTATGTCCCTGCATATGGAAATCAGGGAAACATGAGAAAGCACGATGTTGTAACAAGCATAAGTCATAAAACAGTGACCACATTTACTAATTAGATGGAAAATCCCTCCGAAAAGCAAAAAGGACAATGCAGCTTCAGCAATAAGAATATGCTTACGCATTATGTACATATTCCCATTCATTAAAGAGAATGATCAAGAAGATGGCAAAAGGTAGAGAAAGTGCATTGTTAAGCAACACCATTGAAACTTCATTGAGTGACCCAGATCTTGTTGATTGCTTTGCTGTGTCCATCACCCGCCGCAGGGTCAGCTGTTAAGAAAAATAAGTAATGAACATGAGACGAAAATTGAGGGAGAACAAAAGATAAACCATACCGGATAAATTAAGTACAAATCAAGCAGGGGATTATAGAAGGCACATACTGAGTAGCCTGCTGTGAGAATGCAATTCATAATTTGCCATGCATAGCCCACTGCATCAAAAGAGAGGTCTGTGATTCCACCACTCAGAGCAGATATAATCTGCAAACACATGGAGAACAAGGCATCCATCAATTAAAAAATGATAGTTAGAATTTCAAATCTATTAGCATGCAAAGGAAAGTAGTTAACAAGCCTCACAATACACAAAGGCTTTTTATTAAACCACCAATTTCATACTAGTAGAGATAAATGCACGTTTTGCAGAAAAAGAATTCAAAACAATATGAGCATTGTGGCATTTTCATGAGGTCTGAAGTTCATTACTTGACAAGAAAATGCTTTAAGTTTTCAAAATGTTAATAAATATGCCTCAATTTATGTTTTCCACCTATTCTGATATTTTTCCATGGAAGCAAAACAAAGCTTCCTCAATCTTTGTAACTAAATTTGCACAGGAAAAGACAAGGACAAAGTGCCTGCTGCAAAAATAAAGTCATATTTCTGTTAACAAAAAGAAAAGAACAGTGCAGTCATTAGGAGACTTCATATTTCATCTGCAAGCAAATAAATATCCCAAAGCGATACAAAATAATAAGCGACTCAGTTCATGCAAATGGAAAAAGACATGATGTACCATTAAGAACATGGCCATCCACACTTTATGATTCTGACGCTTCCTGAATATATATAATTCTCCAATTGCCGTTAAAATATTTGTCACATTCTTCAGGATTGTGACCATTGCAATGTTTATGTGCTTCAAACTGAAAAAAGATAATAATAATGCAAAGAATAAGTGAAGGGGTTGATGGCTATTCAGCAAATTGGTATTTCTAAAAACTTTGATCATGAAGTAAAAGAGCACATATTGCTTTCCAATTTACTTCTAAATGGTTAAGGAAACTTTCTTAAAACTAAACTAAGGCTGATACATATTGATCACAAAAAGAGTAAAATGTATGGCTGTGCATCATACCTATACATGCCCGTCACAAGCATGCCAACGAATATTATATTTACAGGAATCCATACTTTAATCAGCTTCCAAGTCAGCTTTTCAGTTGAGACTGCTTGAAAGAAGCTCAATGCAATAACAACCACAACGCTGACTAAATTCTACAAACAAGCACAATAGAAAGGTGTCATGCCTTATCTTCTAGCACCCAGAAAAATAAAAAATCAAGAGATCCTGTGGAGCACCCAGAAAAATGGTGACTTCTAGCACCTTCACAAGTTCAGCAGGAACAAGAACATTTGGATAGAGAAGTGCTAAGTATACATGCCCTAACCTAGTATTTCTTTTCCTTTTCACTTGGCAGCTAATCAGAACTGAATACAAGGCCAAAAAGCAAGAGTGCCTAACTGTTATGGAACTTCTAAACAAGGCACCATGGCATTTCTTTGTAAGGGAAAAAGCTGTCTCATAGATAAGATTACATGCCCAGAATACCTGATAGAACATTAGTGATATGCCTGCATTGAAACCATAACTTGAGAGGACAAATTTGTTGAGCAATATCATGCTGCAAGATGAAATACAATATGCTGTTCCAGACAGTAGAGGTCCAGATCTTCGTTCAGTTACATGTTCCCACTTAGCATCTTCATCAACCTGAAGATTGACATTACTGCGAAGTGTTGCTCGATTTCCTCTAGCAAACAAGAATAGTTGAAATTATTTAGTTTTCCTAACAAGTAAAAAGGGCCCATTACCCAATGTTGGACAGAGTTATATATGTGGTCTTGGGAAGGGTGAAGTTTTAATAAATAATTATTCAGGTACCAATCAATTCATATATACTTTAAAAAAAAATACCTTGAGAACCAGAGAAAAAATTAATGAAAATGTAAATTAACATTTTTACAGGAAAGAAAATAAAAGAGGAGATTATGTGAGAATATTAACAATTGATAAAAACTTCCTCCAGATTTCTTAAATTAAAGTTACAAATAATTAAGAATACAAAGCAACTATTATATGAACTGAAGAAAATCAGGTATATATCAAGAACCCAAAGAACAAATTAACGAAACAAAGCAAAAGAAAAAATGAAGAAATAAAAAGGAGAAAAGTATGCACTTCTTTGGTAGACAATCTTAGGGATATATATGTTCTATTTTTAGTAATCTAGGGATAGAATAACTTGGAACTAACAAGAAGATTAAAATGTTCTACCTGTTATTGGTAGCTCTTCGTACAACATTTGTTGCTATATTGATAAATGACCTGTTCCCATGCTTGAGAAAACCATCAAATATCTTGTAAACTATACTATCTCTATCCCCAAAAGTTATTTTTCCATTTAAAGGTCCAAATGCTGATTGGTTGCAATCATGGCAAACAACTTCATTCAGTTCTAAATCAGCCGTCATTGCACTGCACATGCAACAAGAAGTTATTGAATTAAAATGATGAAGACAGATTTTATGCCTATACAACTGCTTAGGAACATTTGAAGAGAAGGAACATCAAACCAAGTTATTTACCTTTAAGCACCAATTACATGTCCAAAATCTTGACACTATGACCAATAGGAATAAAGCCTGGAATCAAGGATGAAAATGTCATGATTAATAATTTCACTACTTCAGTAAGAAACTTAGGGGCTGTGAAAGTGAATGTCTTCAATATTCATCAAAAAAAAGTGAATGTCTTCAATATGTTCACTCAATTGTCATCGAATTCAGAACCAACTGCCTACAGTTGATAAATAGCTACAACATATCCACCAAAGAAAAAAAAATACTTTTCCATTGCAATGCTTTCTATACTTGGATAAACTGATCTAACTGGAAAGACAACTAAGCACAGCAGGCAGTTAAAGTTTGATAAATTCTTATCAAAGCAATTAACAAGGATCCATGCAAAAAAAGAAGAAGAGGAAATTAGTGAGTAGAAGTAGAAAAGTTAAGAATGGTTCTAACTTTCACACAGTGTAGAGTATCAATTTCTTTTTTTAACCTAAACCTATCAACTGCTGTACATATTTGTGAAAATTTTGGAAACCTTGATACCACAAAAGTGATGCTTTCTCATTAACAATTGTTCCAAAATTGTATCCTCTGTTTGTGGTTAAACCAGGCATTTGATTCCATGGATAAGGGGAAACAGGAAAAGAGAAGGATGAAAAAGATGTAGAATCCTTCTACTAAACTTTTGGATGTTAGCAAATAAGCTTTTTAGAGGTATATCATATGGAGATCTGGACAGGAACTTGCTTCAGTCTTGAGTTCCTCATGTTTCATTGATGCCAATAGAGCCATGCTTCCTCCCAGGACTCCCTCTGAGTTTGTCCGCCAGTTTGATGGAAGTAGTAGAAAAGTTGCTGGTCATCAGGCTGAAGCAGGTATTGGGGGATGGATTTTTAAATCAAACAATGATCTGGTCTGGGCCTTTAGTGGTCCTATTGGTGAGAAAGATGATGCTGAAGCTGAGATTCAAGTGCTGTTATTGGGTCTCAGGGCTGCTGCTGTGCTACGCCTCCCCTCAGTTGTTGTAGAAGGGGACTCAAAAAGCTTTTTCAGCTGGATGCAAGGCAGGCCCATGGAGATTCAACTTTTTCTCGAATGAAATCAAGGAAATCTTAGCTAGTTTGAAGTGCAGTTTCAGGTGGATTCCGAGGGCAAGGAAATCTTAGCTAGTTTGAAGTGCAGTTTCAGGTGGATTCCGAGGGCATTCAATAGCATGGTAAATGGCTTGGCTAAAGCTGAGGTGGGGAGTGGTGTCTTCCTCTGTATGCGAGACATTACTGCTAGCAGATGGGGTGTCTTCCTCTGTAGTCAAGTGATTACAGGTATTGTTGCAAAATAGACTCAACCATTGAATGTTTCCTGCTAGCTCATGCATTTAGATATCCTAAGCCTTGGCATTCTGAATACAGCTTTGACCAACTAAATAAATCTATACAGAACAATATTGTCTATAATTAAAGTGTTGCCAAGAAGATTAAGAAGAATCTTCGAAAAGATCACGGGCAAGATTTGTAGATAAAAATGAACGTAAATTCATTTAACAGGCATGATTATTTTTATAAGATATCATAACTTCATTGAGACAGAACAATATTGTCTATAATCAACATTAAGAAGAATCCTCTAAAGATAACCGGGCAAAATTTGTAGATAAAAATGACCATAACTTCATTTAACATGCATGGAAAAAGGATCAAGCATTCAACAGAAAAGGATAGCCTTAGTTTCAACCACCTTCAATTAGTTCTACCCAAAATTTACTAGTTGACCATATTGGCCACTGCAACTAACGAAGCCCCCTTACAAGTTATGGAGTGAATTTAATATACAGAACACCGATTCGGTGAACCGAAATTAAATGATTACATACATAATGTGTCTCAAATAGAAATCCGTCAAAGCATAAAAAACAATGGAACAAAACGGTCATCGAAAACCAGAAATATTCATCGAAGTAGCAAAACTGGAGAAGAAAAGATGAAGATTTACATATTAAAAGACCTAACCAGTAAAGCCTTAAGACTGTTCGATCTTCCAATACGGTTTCGATCTTCTGAATTCTGATGTCCTCAGAATCAACGAAGTGCAGCAAGAATATCAAATAATATAACAAAACGGAAATGTTCTAATTGATTGAAATAAATGTATCGAGAGAAAGAAATAGAATTTATTTTCAGTAATTTTACCTTAAGCAAGGTATGAAACACACCTAGTAGGGAAGAAGAAAGAAAATGGAGTCATGCCATCGACGTGAGTGGTGAGGTAAGCGCAAACTTTTTAAGTTAGTACGCAAAGCGAATGAAAAACAAAGGGGAAAGGTACGTGGCGAGAGTGGAGAAGGGGGAGGGTTAATGATGTTGGAAGTCTGCAATAGAAGAAACCGAAAGACAGAGAAATGAAGAGAAGACACAGAAACCGAGATTCCAGGATGGAAAAGATCAAGATGACCGCCCAAGAAGTAGAAAAAGAGCAATGGAGGTCTATAGCTAATAAATCTACCCGAGATCCAAAAAGAAGTCAATTGCTTCGAACCCATAGTTCTGTGTTGACACATTAAAGTAGGGTTTATGTAGCGTGTTTTACATGGCTTGGGCTTGCTTTATTGAATTGAACGTCTTCGTTTCGATTCGAAAGCTGTGAATCTGTGATAAACAAACAAACTGCAAATGAGCAAAAGAGGAGGAGAGAGAGAGAGAGAGAGAGAGGAGGAAGAATGTGAATGTGATGACTGATCCTATGAGTCGATGACACATCTCGCAAAACAAATAAAAACAACTTTTTTCAGTTTTAAATAACTTCCTTCTTCAACGGCTCCCCATCCAGTGTGAACGGTCTCGCTCCCGCATCTATGGGCTTTGCATTCTGACCGTTTGATTAGTGGAAAGGAAATCAAGGACTGGAAGTCCCACTTCCCTTACCTATGTATAGGTTAGGTTGTATTATGCTATGTTTACGCATCTTAATTTTGACGTATTGAACTCATACGAGAGTTCAGTTCAGATTTGCGACCGACAAACGCTCCCAACACTGTTCCAATAAGCCGTTTGCAGTAGACAGTAAGTAGTTCTCGTACGAGTTCGGTTTGGTTGAATTTGATGTCACTGCTGTGTATAATGAATGAATTCGGTGTGGGTAGGAGATCCAAGCTCCCACATGGGTCATGAGTGGATTGTGGGGGCATATACGCTTCATCTGGAATATTTTAATTACTCACACGATATCCCAAATAAATGTATGGGATGGATAGATAGATCATATAGATAGGTGCAGGTGGACGGTGACATGCATTAGATCATTATACTATCTATAAATCACAATGGGAATCCCCTCAAACTCAAAGCTTGCTACGTGGGTAATCTAGTCTAGGTATAACCGTGTAAGGTATCAACTCTTAGGCATATATAAATATAAATCAGTCTTAACTCTTTAAACATTTATAAGCTTTTTTTTTATTTATTTAAAAAAAAAATGTCGTTTTGGTAAGCAATTAGATCAGATTAGATTATTAGCGAAAATTCCTTGTCTTAGGAAAACAAAAACAAAGCTTTTTCATTGATATGAAATAACAAGGTTTTTTTATGATAACACCACCCCCCTACTCCTAGTATGTAGTAGTAGGACTTTAGGCTTTGGTTTTGTCAAACACTCAAACCTAGACCTCACCCCTCACCCTACACTGTACTGACTCCTCTTATTGCTCTTCCCAGCAAACTGCAGCATGGAGAAAATTAATGGTTGCCTCAAGAGAATTGGGAGATGAAAATAGTAGATTAACATTTTGATTTGACGTTGGTTTTAAAACAAGACAGCCCAAGCTATGGTAGTAGTTTGGACAAACTGACCAGAACCTACGCCCCTAGTAGATCATAAGGATCCAATTCTTGCTCCAATATAGTTGAATCTTTTGTATGATCGACATCGACCTTATTTATTTTATTCATTCTTCAATAAATTATTAACACAACCAAAGTCTAGATTCAACATAGCCTTACATAACCTCACAAAACCCAAATTATTTCATTACCCACTTGGGATTTCTTTTTGGAACGTGAAACTGGTATTTCACCGTGAGGCTAAGTGACGTGAATTGTGTTTGGCAGCATGGTGTTTTTTTTTTTTTTTTTTTGGGGGGGGGGGGAGGGGTAAAAGGCTTGTAAGTACTCTGAATTTTCATAAATTAACTTAAAACATATCCCGAAGTTTTTAAATAGATTTAAATATACTTTGTGGGTAAACATATTCTCATTTTTTTCCTCTCCTTTCATGAACCCCTTTTAATATTTTAAAAACCCATTTTACACTTTTGAAAATAAAAAGACTCTTTTAAAACAATCTACTTTGTTATTGTTAACAGTCTTTAATATATAACTTTGAGGAGCGAAAGGTAAACCTCTTCTTAAATCTTTGGCATGCAGATGTAGGCAGTTGGTTCAAATTGTATAGACCAGAGCTTTCTATCAAGCTTGCGCAGATCAAACTTCTGTGTTGTAGATGAACAAGATACACAACTAAATCAAGTGGGGGCCGGTGGATGGATAGGTAGTAGAGAGAGGGAGAGGCTGTTTAAAATAGGGGACAGGTGGTTGAGGATAACAGCACAGTTTGGTGATCATGGCAAATTGCAAGTTGAAGGAACAAACAAAAGAGAAGAGGAGAGAGAGATGGTGATGAGCTGTTTCCATTGCCGCCTCAGAGGAGGAGGAGGAGCGGGGAGAGAGAGAATGGGGAAAAAATAAGGCAGCTAAGCTTGGTTTTCAAAACCGGACCGGATTAGACGGTTGGATCGGAAAAATCAAGAACCAATTAGGTGACCAGTTTCGTTTTATTCCAGAACCGTTTTTTTCCCCAAAATTGTTGATTTGATCAATAAACCGCTGATTGGAGGTTGAACCATTCAATGGTTTGGTCGTTTTTATTTTTTAAATTTTTTGATAAATTTCTTAAATTACCCTTATGATTTAGCTAATTAACTAAATGTATCCTTACTGTTTGAAAATTGACTAACGTTATCCTTAGTATTTCTAAAGATTGACTAATACTGTTTTCACCCCCAGCGTGCATTAACAATAAAGACAAAAAAGACTATTTTACCCTTTATTCTTTTTCAAATTTTCAAAATAAAACAGAAGGATTAAAAATATAAAAAATATGACAATCTGTTACCCATCTCCCGCAGCTCCAACAATTCAGATATGACAATTTGAATCCACCACCTTCCATGTATACAAAAATCTTAATTTTTCATGCTGAAGCTGTTGCAATTAGGGCAACCAAACGAACCCAGAAGCGATTTTGAAAGCAAGATATATTTAATAAAAAAAGCAGAAAATGCAATGATGAATAGGATATCTTCAAACGAAAATAGGGTTTCAACTGTGGAGAGAGAGAACTAAGAGGGGAAGGGGGGCGGAGGAAGAAGATCACTGCCGCTCACTTCCTCTTCCAGAATCCCACTGAAAATGCCCCATGGCATACGAAAAAAAAAAAGGCAGTAAAGTCGTTTCTTGAGGCCTTGCCACAGGAAGGCTTCTTCTCTCTCTATTCTTTTCAATTATAATGGCCTTCATTTTTTTTAGAATTTGGGCGAGCCTCGCTGTAGTTCTGTCTCATAAGAAGATAAAGGAAAGGAAGAACAGAGAGAGAAAAGGTGGATGCCGACGGGCAGGTATCTGCACTAAAACTATGCTGGTGCCTGTGCAGTAGTTCTTGCGCACTAAAAGTATCCAGCGGCGAAACACACAAGTCGTCTCCAAACAAAGCGCTAGAAGACAAACCTTGTTCTGCTCTCCCATCTCTTTCTTCCTCTCTTTCTCTTCCCTTCTTCCCTCTTCTAAAACAGTAGGAATAATCAGAAGCAACAATGAGTGAATTATCAAGAAGAGAGTGGATCTAGACGACAATGTTCTCCGACGAAAGGACCGGGGTGCCGGTGTTCTGCCATTGCGTCAAAGAGGAGAGGGTGTTGCTTCCGCTGATTAGGAACACTTCGATCTGCCCTTTTCCGAACCCCTGTAGCCCTCCACCTTTTGTAGAGGAAACTACGGAAAAAATTGGCCTTGAAGCCGATCTCTGGAAGGTATTATTCAGGGTTGCGTTTAAATTAAAATTTCTAGTTTCAATAACACGGAGAGCAGTCGTGACCTCAGATGAGAAATCAACATGCCTAAGGGAATCAATGAGGTTTATAAGGTACTCATTTCCTTGTAGTTCTTCACTCTTCAGAGATTCATCAGTCATCAAATAATACAGAGAAATACCAATAGCTTTCTTTAATAGTAATGATACACTCTGCTTCATCTTTGCGTGTATCTGTCATCCGAACATCTCCTGCAACTTCCTGAGCAATGATACTAGCTACAACCACAAGTGAATCAGTCACTGGAGACTTCCCATGATCAACATGAGCAATCACAAACATATTAGGGATGTTGTATTTCAGCCTTTCAGGTCCATAATCCTGCGAAGCTCCTGTACCGTAAACTTCACCATCTTGATAGATTGTTGTTATCACAGAGGTAAGAGAGAAGAGACGGGGGGTCTGAGGAGGAAGGGATTGCTGATCAGAGGAAGGGACGAGGGGATAATATTGGGTTTTAAACGGATTTTAAACGTCACATTGTTTAGTACTCTACACATGTGTTAGATCACATTGTTTATACATAAAAATCACATGTTTTAATGGATTTTATGAAAAAACATATTATAATTAACAAACGGGAACCAAAACAAACTATCTAATAAAGTACTTAATTCAGTTCAAAGTTCTAACTTCAAATTTTAAATTTATCATAATTTACAAATTCAACATTTGAATCCCAATATGATTTTTACAATTTTACATGAATCACATAAAAATTCAATTATTATATAAATTATCCAATTTTAAGTATTAATGTGTTAGTAAACTAATTTTCAATTGTTATTATGAAAATTTTTAAATATTTTTTCAATTAATATCTAATACAAGTATCCAATTAAACAAATAATAATTGTTTTCATATTTTTGAGGCCACAATTATATTCACATTCAAATTATAGATTATCATGTGAACTATATCAATGCCTTTTATTCTATATTTTTTAAATATTACTAATTTTTTTAATTGTTTTAAACATTTTGCCAAGTGTTATCTAATCCAATTAAACAATTATTGAATCAAATAATTATGTAAAATTTGTAATTATTGAATCAAACATTTTTTTCTGTATTTTTAAATAATTATTTATTTTTATTCAAATAATTATTTTGCATGTCTTATTAAAAAAGTTAAACAAATATTTTTTTGAATAGTTTCAAGGACATCTATTATTTTTATTCTAAAATTAATAATTATTTTGCATGTTTCATTCTAAAAACTAAATAATTGTTTATTTTTATTCAAATAATTATTTTGCATGTTTTATTCTAAAAATTAAATTAAAATTAAAAAAGTAAATATGTAACAGAAAAAGTGAATGCATTTATGGACATAAAAAATGAAATAGTTATTTTGCATGTTTCATTCCAAAAACTAAATAATTATTTATTTATATTCAAATAATTATTTTGCATGTTTTATTCTAAAAATTAAACTAAAATTTAAAAAGTAAATATGTAACAGAAAAATTGAATGGGTTTATAGACATAATAGATCATCCATATATTTACTGTAAATATTTATTATTAGAATTTAAATCATAGCAAAAAATTAGAGGAATAAATAAATATTTATAATCTAAAAATAAAAAATTAAAAAAATAAATTAAAATTTTCACATGATATTTCAATATATTGATGTCAGTCATAGCTCTACAACATACTCAACCTATAGTGTTAGATCACATAAAATTGAAGAAATTATCTATATATTATATATTATTCTAAAAATTAAAAAAAAACAATTATTTAGAAGAAATTTCAATTGATCTATGGATAATCTACCATGTCCATAAATCTATGGTAGATCATCCATAAGTGGGATTTTTTACATAAAAATAGCATATCAACATACACAAAAATGTTTCTAAGAATCCAAACTAAAAAAAAAAACACAAAAACATTGGCTGAGATTTTAAAAAAAATGAAAAATAAATAAATATTTTCGCTCATTTTTTAACAATATTGAAAAACTTGTTGGATCTTGCATATTTGCGGATGTTTTGGTGGATTTTGGCTAGATTTCAATCTCTAGGAATGGTATGAAAGTTTCTAGAGGGTTTGGGGAAAAAGAGGGGTAGCCCTCTTTCAAAGGTTTGATACTGTTCCCTATGTCAGAACCTCAAAGATACGATACATATCAGCCGATACGTAATGCATCATAATGAGGGGTAATTTGGCCCAACCCATCAACACCCGAACATGTGGAAGCAACTTGCTGACTGGACGACGACTTGACATTCCCTACCACCTTAGCGAGCCAAGTCAACTCGGATACCTCAGGCACCTCGAACATGACCGAGGTCCGAGCAACTCATGATGGCCCGACCTGCCGAGGTGACACATAGTCAACTATCTTCGAGCTCTCTAGGATCATTCCACACGTCTGCAAGCCTTATCCTTATCCCACCCGGATCAGATGGACTCGATAAGCCTTATCAACTAACACGAAGTCCACCTCCTGGTGCAGAACAAGTTCCTAATAGCACAGACCGGGGATCTCAGAGGTGTTTCGTATGGCCTACGGCTGCTCACCTATATAAGAGCACCAACTTCGATGACACAAGGTATATGCGATTATTTGCTCACTAGCCTTCTAGCATACAAGTTTTTAGCTCGCACACAAAATACTAATTTAAGCATCAGAGCACTCACAGTCTTCATCTTTTGCAATTCAACCGGCCAGCAAAACAGACCGTCGTCCGAGCTACCCTCCAGCTAAGAGCATCCAGATTGTGCACTATCACATCACATTCAACAAAGATGGACTATCTCTTAATTGGCATCTTATATGGTAGTGTAGGGATATATTCTATAATTTTAATGCATCACATCCAACAAACACGGATACACACCATCAAATACCAACCAAACTAACTATGTCATTTTGCCTATCTAAACATTTCAGCCTGAAATGGCAATGATACCAAACCAACCTTGTCAACTGTGCAAGATCACACAAAGCTTATCCACGTCAACATATTCAGGTCTGATCATAGAAAAGATTCTTCTCAAGCAAACCAGCTTATTCCAACATTTTCATCTTGATTAAGAAAAATATACCCTCATTGCTAAAAACTAGCATAAATATGCATTCACAATTAAACAAAAAAGTGTTTTAATCTCTAAAATTAAACAAAATGGTTATTGTAACCGAGGTTCAATAAAAATTTCTTTTACTCAAGAACATGTTTCATGTGTTTTTGCTTTAAGAATAAAATTCAGTTCTAACAAAATTCCATCATTATAGCTCTCTTACACTGATAGTCCCAAAAACTAAATAAAAGAGGAGAATTGCATCAAACTGGTGGCTAACATAAAAACTTTTAATCAATCCAATATTAATTATTAATCCCAAATTGTTTTGCCTTACTCTAATGAGATAAATTACTTCATTTAAATAAAAGGCTTAAAAGAATTGTAGCTAATGAGATAAATTATTTCTGTGGTTTCTTTTCCTCCATCCTAGATGTGGTTGGAAGAGTGAGTCTAAGTGGCAGTAACTCGAGTTTCTACTAACAGAGTTGGTCAAATTCCTGAGCAATGTGAAAACTAGAATGAGAAGACTCAATGCACTATAGAATAGAACATAAAAAATGGAAATCTAAGAATCTCTGGTCCAGTTGAGCTTTGAACATGCTCAGGGAGACATGGAATAGCGACTGCACTTGTTCTACTGTAGCCTCTTTTCTTCCCATTGGAGATGTAATAGAGTTTATATGTGAGGATACATGAACCAATCACAGAAATGACGTTCAATTGGCTAAAATTCCAAATTACATAAGAATGCTATCAATTGAAAAGAAAGAATTCAAATTATGATACAAGGTGGGAGGAGACAAGGATCGGATAAGAATCAACTCAAACTAAAATCACGGAAGCAGCACAGGGGGAAAGGAAACGTGGCATCACCAAAACCATATGTTCCTGCTATCCACAGCCTTCACTGAAGTTGATACTAAAGGCATACGCCCATATTCTGCAGCAAACCTGTTGACACATTGGGATCTTCGTTCACTATGACCTCCCAAGCTACTGATACCAGTTGATCCAATCTCAAAAATCTTACCTGCAAACACCAAAGAATATTCATTTTCAAATCATAATTCCCAATGACAAGGAAGTAAAGATTCCACAAGCCATTAAAATCAGCCACTTGTAAAACTGGGGGCACATTCTAAAAATTCAAAAAAGAATAAAAAGAATAAAAAAAATCAAAAGTTAAACTGGATCAATGAAGCAAAAAATTAAGGCCTAGGCGAGCTGATTGAGATTCAATTCCAATTTAAGGGGGATAGTTCTACTCTATGGGATGTTATACTTGTGCTTGCATAAGAAATATGTCTATAACAGTACAGTGGGTTGGGAGATCAGCTAATGCATTTGCAGATGCCTTGGCCAAACAAGGGGTAAATAGGGAAACATTGTTCTGGGCACAACTGTAACTCTTGTTTTAACATCAACACTSATGTAATTTCTGTTATAGTTCTTGTATTTGCTGTTAGGAGAGGCGGCACCTTGCGCCTTTAAAGGGATTTTCTTGTATCCAATGAAAATGAATTTATTTATCAAAAGAAAAGATGAATGCTCTCCCCCATGCCACTAACCATTCCCATAGAATTATCAGTGAATAAACATATTTAAGTAACTCGTGCATAAAAAAATATATAAATAAACATATTTAAGTAACTGCTTTCATGACTTTCAACTAGGATTTGGTGATAAAAAAGATGCACTTCAAACCAAATTTGTGAATAGGAGATTTACAGTGATAAAATGACCACATTGGTGACCTTGCTTCATGCCAGAAGCTTCATTTAGCAAACAGTTAAAAGTGATCCTTACATGTGGGTACCATTTTGTTATCATAATCCTAGCTAAGATCAACTGACTCTGCAGTAGTTTCCAGCCTAAATGGCCATCCAAGTGAAAGTCCATGGTACAGTGGGTCATAACACCCACACTGTTACATGCATAGTGTATTCTTAGAAAGACCGCTTACGGTCCATAGTTCACATGTGTTGTCCACCTTATGTGCACTAAACATGTCTTATCTTACATCCTGGTACAGTGGGTCATAATACACACTGTCACATGCATAGTGCGTAATTATAAAGACCACTTATGGTCCATAGCCCACATGAATCATCCACCTTATGTGCATTTCACATGTGTTATCTTACATCCTGTTGCAGAAGTAAAATTAATTTACACAGAGAACCTAGAATGAGAGGCTAAAAAAAAGTTTAAGCAATTTAGACAAGATACATGCACAGCAGAAGTAAACAAGAAAGCAATGTCATTTACCTTTAACCCATATAGGAGGAGCACCTGTTACATTTGCAACAAGGAAAGACATTGCAATATCTTCGCAGTTCCTGGTATATGAATTCAGGATTTAGTTGAAACATGTAGAATATAAGCAGTATAGCACTATAGCTGCATAATAGGTAGAAAAACCATCAACAATTGCATAATGAAACAGAATTTAATGAAAACAAAACCTGTTCTTGGTTATATATTCTCGAATTGATGCTGGTATCTCATGTGTGTACAAATATAGATACTTTTTGTGGAAAAAGGCTGCTTTGGAGAGCACCATACTGTATGTACCCATCCACCAAACAGACCACCAACCTCCATAAGTGTAGTAGTCTTTGCCACCCTTCTACAAGTAGGACAATGTTCATAGATATAAGAGGTTCTTAATGCCAAAGTTCGAAAGCTAAATTGAAAATAACAAATCTGAGCACCTATAAATGCTTAGCATACCTGTGTCATATCTGATAATTATGAGATACAACACTAGATACTGCATCAATACTTCTAGATGTACTTTATGGCATTAACAATTTCAAAATATATAAAATGGTATATTTTAACAATTTATACTATAAAAATATTTGTATATGTCAAAATTTTAATTAAATTTCACAAGATGTAAGTCTTGAGAAATGACATTTAGCTACAGAAACTAGATATAAACACACGATATAACGATATTATACGGGATGCCCCTACCCATATATGTGTCCAGAATTTTAGGAAATAAAGAGCTTATCCCTGCTTCCAGTACATGCGACTGTGTCCATATCCTTGTATGGGCATCCTAGGCTTTGAAGATTGTATAAGTTACATGAAGATAATAAAAGCAGAAAATGAAAAAACAATATCATGCATTAGCAAAGCAAGCTAATGTGACCAATGAAGAGTATTGGTGAATTTCAGTATAGAATTTATGTGCTATATCATGCAAACAGGAGATTAGATGTAGTGTACTACCTTAAATCAACAACCAGACTAGATCGTGGAGCAGCAGCAGAAATAATTGGTTTTTGATCAATTATGGCTCAAGATGTTATTGATGATTGACAAAAGGAAAATAGTCAAGATTCAAAAAAAATCATGCAAGTCCTGAAATAAGACGTCCTAAAGATTTCCCTAACGTGAAGCCGTGTAATATTTACCAAGAGACTTTTAAAGCAGTGAAACTATTACTACTGAAAAAAAAAAAGAGGAAAAGGAACCTCAAGGCCTACCGACTGATCCACCCAATGAATACGTGGTACAAATCCCACCATGGTTTCAGGTGCACTTTGCCAAACAGTAAAAGCAAACTCTACTGAAGTGCAAGGAAATATAACGTCATCATCGATTGAAAAAATAGCATCAGTCTTCAAATCCTCGATTTCCTTGAATCTGTTATTCAGACTGTCTTCCTTATGTATGTCAAATTTCAGTTCAATATTTCTACCATCTTTAGACTTTGACCGAATGGTGTGCTGTAGAAATTCATGGAGAGAATTTGATGGAGGATCAGGTTCACTCCAGACAATATGTATAGAATCAAGTCCACGACAGGATGCATAGTGAGAAATAGACTGCTTCAGAAGATCATTTCTCTTCCATGTGTTAATCAAGATGGTGTATCCTTTTCTGTTCACACAAGATAAAATCCAGTACATAGAAATAAGAATCACAAAGGAAATCATAGTGCAACAACTATTCAAAACCATCTTCCTTTCCACTAGAGTCAAGCATTTAGAGCCTCCAGTTGTTAAAGTTACCCACCTTTCTCACTTTTTAACTCTTCAAAACCCAGTTTTAGATGAACCACAAGAAGAATATTTATTCTGCAAGATTTTACCATATATATAATTTGCTCAAATCCCAGTACCTTCACAAGAAGAATATTTATTCTACAGGATTCCTTTTTTGATATTGTATAGTGTCTTAGATGTACCTCTGGAAGATCATGCAAGCTATGAATGCCATTAAAACTGAAGGAAAAACCTAGTAGGATTGCTATAAAACCAGCCATTTTTTTGTAGAGTAAAACATTCGGCAACCAAGGAAAAATACATTGATTAGATGATTGTAGTGCAGATAAGGACATTTAGACAGATGTGTAATTTAATTAAAGGGTAAAATACAAAAACCTCCCCTGAAGTTTCGGACAATCATAAAAACCTCCCCTATAGTTTCATTTTAAAAATACCTCCCCTGAACTTTTGAGAAAATCAACAAAAACCTCCCTTCCGTCACTGTCCCAGACGGAAAACATTAGATTGATGCACCAGTTTTTTTTCCAAATATCCATTCTACCCTTTTATGAATTATTTTACATACAAAACTACTGAAATAATCCCATTTTAACTCAACAAAAAACATATTTCAGTAATTTTGTATGTAAATTACTGAAATGATCGTTAAAAGTGGTTTTCGTTGAGTTAAAATGAGGTTATTTCAGTAGTTTTGTATGTAAAATAATTTATAAAAGGGTAGAATGGGTATTTGGAAAAAAACTGGTGCATCAATCTAACGTTTTCCGTCTAGGACAGTAATGGAAGGGAGGTTTTTGTTGAGTTTCTCAAAAGTTCAGGGGAGGTATTTGTTAAAATGAAACTATAGGGGAGGTTTTTATGATTGTCAGAAACTTCAGGGGAGGTTTTTGTATTTTACCCTTAACTAAATGATAAAATTGAAAGAACCTAGGGTAGCGCCAATTGGTCAAATGATCACAAATTACAGGGCAATGACTTTACCATTTGAAATGAAGACAAACTAATGAACCTGATAGAAAGGAGTGCTTTGTGTGAGCTTAAGACTCTACAAGGATAAGAAGGATACCTAATGAGTATGTAGGTTCTAACTAAGTAAGAATTGTTAGCTCATTCTTTAATAGATTTGACCTTAGTGCTCAATAAAGAAACATACAGTCCCAATAAGCAATGACCTCCTACAATTATACTTGATGTTGTTAAGCAGAAGCATCAGGAGGATATTGGAACAGCAATTTAAGAACTTCCATTTGACTTCCAGGAGCATACTGCAACTGTACTGAAGAGAAGGCACATTGGTTGTTCTTTGATCAAGTGACGGTTTACCTTTTTCATTTCTGCAAAGTATACATCCATGTCTTGTTCTTAGTTGGATAAAAATTCACCATAATCTTACCTTTCCAGTGCTTAGCAACTTAGTGCCATAGTTTTCAAGGCATCAATGCAAGGCTAGGCAACAGGGGGGTGCCTTGTTGCCTAGTCGCCCAGGCGATGGATTTTTAAGTAAAAAACATGTACCCTAGGGTAGTTCCCTAGGTTCCATAACCATACTTCCTTAATAATTATCCATAATTTTCATAAGAAAAGTATAAGCTTCATGTTGAAGTATAGAAAATCAACATATTCATGAGAAGAAAAAGAAGAAAGAAAAGAAAGTTCAAAAAATATAGGGGCTGAACCCCTATTTCTGTTAAAGGAAAAGAAGAAAAGAAAAGGTGGAAGAAGAAAATGTGTTGACTAGACAGCATTTTAAGTTTTTCCTTATTGGTTCAGGTTTTTAAGTCTTCGAGGGTTCAATACAGCATTTAGCAATGTTTGTGTTGATTAAACCCTAACAAATAAGAAAATAATAAAAAGAAATAAGTATATAAATACACAAAATTAACATTTTAGTTTAATAATGTCTATTTTATAATTATAACCACAAAAAATTAAGAATATAAAAATTTTTTTATAACACACTATACAAAACTGCTTGGCAATTAGGCAAGACGAACCCAACCCCCAAGGGCGCCTTGTTGCTAGGCGTCGCCTTGACAACTATGCTTAGTACTTGTAGACATCTAAGCTGAATGTTAATCTTTATAAAGAATAATTTCTCAAGCTATTATGTATCCATCTATAAGACAGCTGCTGCCCTACATCTGCCTATTTACACCAACTTGGTGTATAAAATTGGCACTTCAGCTCCTGCACTGTATGACTAGACAACACATCTAACACCAGGCTCAGAAGCATAATTTCTAATGTTACCGTATGATCCTTTCAATGACCCAGGAATCCACAAGATCATGCTTTACAAGACAAATCCAATTCCTCTACTTAAAATTATGGATCCAAAAAATTTGGATGTCAAACCCTGGTCCTACATCTTTTAGTTCCCCCTCCCCCCCAACAAAAAAAAAAAGATGTATGAAAATCAAGTTCTTGTCTTCATAAATTATAGATGTCAACCTGGTGGAAAAACTTCAAAATTTCTTATCCCTCAAAAATGATGTTACCTGAGTGCAGTGAGGATGCGACTGGACTGAATGCTATATCAGAAACAGTGAGGAATAGAGCTAAAGCTCCCTAAAAGAATTTGTGGTACATACTAGGGTCTGATAAGCATAATCAAATAAAAGATAAAAAAAAATTAAAATATAAAATATAGAGAATATTCACTAAGACCATGGGCTTTTATGCTAGGTGATTAACATATCCTAGCAAAAGGTAATGGTATGTTGCAGCATAAAAAAGGTAATTGTATGACTAGGAGTCTAGGGAAGAAAACTAAGGGCTAGAGGTGCACTATCAATGATTTGAATAAGAGCATTGTGGTCAAAGAGAACACATATAGAAAGAGGAAATCAAGAATCAAATCAAATATAAAATTCAAGAAACCATACCAGGATTCAAGAACTAATAGAGATCTAGAAGTAAGACTTATAACTCTAAAACACTAAAACTAAAATGACCAGTAAACTTGACAGAAAATCAATAAATGGATAATTAGAAGTTAAACTTTCCCTTGTTAAGAAAAGAACCAACATGGCACAAATCCTTAAATTAAGGGTTTCAATTTAGTCACACCAAGAGTATGGAGACAGACCACATGTTTTAAAAAAATCTTGAGGGGAAAAAGAGAAACTGTATACAGTAACTTGTGTCTCTATTACATCTTCAACATCTTGTATAGATATTCTAGTGTGAATATTCAGCTTTTCAAATGAGGTCTGATTTTGTACGATTTCAGAAAATAAATGACTTGCTTTTCATTCTGGCTCGCAATCATTTTCTGATAACTTGGAAATTTGATCTGTATTTTGATGGAATCAACAATTAAACTCATACAGCTTGACTGGGTCATTGGTCTCGCTAGTAACACAAAATTTGATCTGTATTTTGATGGAATCTCTCAGGGCATCATTGGAAAGTAAACTAGTTGTCATGATAAGTTCCATTGCTTGAGTGCAGGAGAAGGGTGCAGTAACACAAAAGAAGATCTGGGCCTTAACAAGAATTGCACCAAAAACCTGAATCAAGAACTTTGATATAACTTTGACCACTTGCTATGTTTTCAGGTCCGATTGGTGTAGGGAATTCACTTAGAGCTGAGTTTATGGTGGTAATGGAAGGGTTAAAGAAGCCTAAATAATTGAATATCAGAAAGCTAATTGTTGAAGGAGATTCAAAATTGGTTATAAGCTGGTTGCAAAAGGAGGAAAATGGATTATGGTAGTTTGCCAACGAAAAAAGAAAGTTCAATTGGCTAACTCAAATGTAGAGATTCAGCTGCAATGGGTTAAGAGAAGTGATAACTCCTTTGTGGATGCTCTTGCTAAACAAGGGGTGGGAAGGGATCAAATGTTCTGGGCTGTATTGTAATTCTGTTTTTTTTTTTTTTTTTTTCTCAGGGAGGGTTAAGAGATTTTGCCTCTCCCTTTGCTTCCTCTATACCTTTCTATTAATTTTTTAATAAAGTTTCTATTATTGATAAAAAAAAAACACAGCTTCAACCACCAAGAAGAATATGGAACCAAATCAAGGAAAGAATAAATTTTATTCAATTACTTGTATCTCTATTACATAGTTCAGCATTTTGTACAGAAAAATAGAAGGGATTGCTCAGCCATTCTGAGGCAGTCAAACCCACAGGCCTTAAAGTCTGCACCTGCAGGCCCAAGCCTGCAGGGCGCAGGCTCTGGCTTAGCATATGGTCCAGCCACCATTTTGTAATAGACATCATATTAGACTTTTTCAGAATCAGAAGAATCTGGAATAGGAATATTCTGTAATTCCTGTCTTGCTTTTCAAGCTAAAGGTAAGCCCATCTACCACTATAAAAGGCATTATACTTTATGATACCTGAATATCTATACATGACTAGTATACTGGTGTTGGACATGATATGTTCAAAACACAACACTGGATAACGGAACACTGGTAAAATACACATTATAGCATCAATACTTCAAACAGGTAAAATTATATGTTTTAACAAGATATATATACTATAAAAAATAGGTATATGCTAGAAGGTAAATTAATTTTGGAAAGATATATGTATTGATAAATGAAATTTAGCTTCAAAAACTAGACACAGAAGCATGATATAGGCATAATAAATGGGATTTAGTGTTGCATGGCCTGAGAATTTGGGGTGGTAGTAGGATGTTTCAAACATAACAGTACAAATTCTTCGAAGTACAGACAGCCAATTGTAATATGTAAGCAAAGGAATTGAAATTATGAGGTAGGCACTGTTTTAAGGGACAGTCCCCCAAGACAACCAATTGTAATATGTAAGCAAAGGAGTTGAAATTATGAGGTAGACACTGTGGGATAGCCAAAATGAGAAGAGGAGCTTGGCACAAGCCAAAATATATTCCATTAATAAAAAAAGAACTGAAAAGAATAAATAAATATGATGCCCATACAGTATCCATATCCAGGATCTTAGGAAATGGAGAGTCATATTCCTGTATCCTGTATCCATATCTCTGTCAGTAGCCATATCTAGGCATCATATATTATACTCCTTATTAGGGAGTTAGAAGCTTGCCCATTTTTGCTCTGCAAATTCTGCTTGAAGAAGAGGGATCTTTCTTCCTTTGGTGGTGAGACTTCATTCTTGAAGTGGTATGTTTGTGACTCTACCTATTATATTCCTATTCTCATCCAGTTTCTCCCTTTATTATTCTTTGGTATCTGTTTTCTTTCCATTATTGGTAAAACCCACCATTAAAATATTTTCTTCTTGAAAGTTTAGTAACTTGAGCAGTAAACCACCTTGGATTTCATGCCCATGTTGCAACCTCGCCTTTGGTTCCATGCCACCACCACATTCACAATTAGAATGACTAAAAATTTAAAAGTACATAATTTTATTTTTATTTATCTACAAAATAACAGAATTATACAATCATATAATTCTCTTTTTTCTGATCAACGAAACAGTATAATGTTTACTTTGGAGTACTTCCAGTAAACTGAAGCCCTTCATCTAATTAGACCTAAGGTATAAATGACTTCTAGAAACTAATGAAAGACTAGTAGCACCATCTGAGAAGAAGTTCTCTATATACCAGTCCAATGAATCAAGATTGAAGATTCCAAGAAAATTTAGTTAGAAAACTAACCATTTTTGTACATTTAGTTTCCAATTTTCTATAATTAGCTGCCATCTCAGCTCTCAATCCCTGGCTTACAATTTCTAGCATAAACAGTGAAGCAATTAATACAATACCAAGACAGTTCATTAAGTGGATGACTGTCCCTCTGGTTAGTATAGCATTCATAAATAACGTTCAGAATAGAAAAGGCAGACGTGGAAACAACAGACAAGAAAAAATAGGCATAACCTTATCATTTTCATTATTCACTAAGGGTCCCTAAAACATGTCCCATTGTGTATAACATGTTCAGAGATTACACTCAACTTCTCAAAAGCAAGCAACCGTCTGGAAAACTATTTCATCACTACTAACACTCAACTGAACTCAGCCTTTTTCGAACTGTATGGGGTCGGGTTACCCTTAATGAATAATAAAACTATTATAAGAGGGGGAAGTACGAATTCAGGCAGACAAGTGTGTAACGAATTCAGGGCTAACTGATAATTCAGAACGAACACGAACTAGCTCAAATAAATGAATGTCCAAAGGAAAATGCTGCAGTGGAACCAAATACAGTAAAGGGGAAGAAAAGGCAAAGTGTTGAAAAAGAAATAGGCTAAAGGGTGCAAATTTGAGCGATCAACCAGATAATTGATTGAGAAGAATTCAACCAAAGCATCATAGAATCAAGTGTATGCCGCCTTTCTAATAGCAATCAGGAATAGACTGAAAAGAGAGGACCAAATAGCAAATAAACAGTGCAGAGAGAGAGAGAGAGAGAGAGAGAACAGCAAAAAGATATGACGGAAACAGAAGAAAGGTAAAAAAGAAATCAATTTTTCGGGTGTACGGACCTCGGAACAGAGGACCGTCCGATGGAGGCTGGATTATGTCTCCATCCCATAAAAGACGCGGCGCGGCCAGCGATAAGCACTAACGTGAACACGATGCAGCAGCAGAGGAGCAGCTTGATCTTGACGGATCCAACGGAGGAGATCGTGTTCTGACGAAACCTCTGAAGAATCCTACGGCTAAATAAGCTCCCTCTCATCAGAGCAGCTTAGTAAGAGACTGGCCACCGATCCGAGTCCACAACGCATGTTTCAGGGATGACGAGTGCATCGGCACTCCGGCAACCTTGATAGTTCCATTTAGTGAAAGTGGAAGGAGTTCCACTGCATCTGCACTCCTCCTGTCCCACCAATCCTTCTCTTCCACCTCTTCTCCGGCGTTGGTCTACAGCGGTCCCTGTTGGAAGCACGTACACAGAGATTTTAGGAAGTAACCGAGACGGAGGAGAGATGACAAACAGAAGCCAGGCTTTCCCATGCGACGAACGAAGATTAGCGGTGATGGTGGAACATAAATACTACTTTTCTTGGTGAGGATGGGATCTCTATATTGCCATTGCTGCTGTCTGCCGACTGCCGCGAGCGCGAAGCAAGGCCTGTTTCTGCACTTTTTTTATTTTTTTACACCCCAGCCCAAACAGATCCTCAAACATAGAGGAGGGAGTACATCACAATTTCACAAATTCACAATTCACAAGCTCGTCGTCGATTCGTCGTCGTGCGGAGCTCTCCTCTCTTTTCGACGTCTGCACGTGCTTTCAACCCCTGACCGTGAGCATCCTTATTGGGCAGGATTACTGCTCTAACCTAGACTCGGCCACACCGTAAAATCCCCCCTTTCCTATTTCTAATTATAATATGCGCGATAGAAATTTGGAAATATAACAATGAATGAATGAACGAATGATCTCTCTCACCGATGGATCATGCCATTTTATAATTTGGACTTTTTAACTAATGACAGTCAATGCGATGGTATGTTACTTATTCATTTAAAAACTTTAAATGGGGCCCACTTTGTGTACGTAACCACCTTAATTGTACGGCACGTTAGATGTTTTTTTGGTATTACGTTAGATGGTGGTATTGGGTTCCCTCAGCTCTAATAATAACTCATATTATAAAAAAAACAATAAATCTATTTTATTATTATAAAAAATGATACTTTTTTATCGTAGCAGCCAACGCTGACAGCTAGCTAACTCACGGGGAATCACTGTTGCTATGATGCTTCTAACGCAGCCTAAAACCGTGAATGACCTTTGAGTTTGATATATTGTGAAGATCCAATGTGCCATGAAAGCCCAACCTTACATGGGACAAATAGACATCACTAGGGGAACCGAATCCGATCCCATTTGTCGGTAATATTTTATAGGGGTGAGCAAACGATTTATTTGGTTAAAAATCGAATTGAATAAATCTAAATTTTTAGAATCAAAATTTTAAATGAAAAATCGAACTGAAATTAAAATATTGAAAAACCAAAATAATCAAAATTAAAATTTTCAGATTAGTTCTCGGTTATTTCGGTTAAAATCGAATTTCAACACTATATATATTTTAATATATATTGTAGTGTATATTTTTAATATATAATATATTAAAAAATACATATTATACAATGTATATAATAAATTATATATTTTAATACATAATATAATACAATATAATATATTTTATACATATTATATATGTTAATATATATAATAGATAATAAAGTCTGGCTATTCGGTTTTTTTGGTTAACTGAATTTCTAAACCTGAAAATCAAAACCGAAACCAAAATTTTACAAAATTGAAAAAATTGAACTAAAATAACAAAAAACCGAAAAAATCAAAAATTTTCGGTTCGATTTTTCGGTTTTAACCGAATAATGCTCACCCTAATAGTTTATGGAGAGAATGATTGTTTCAGCCCACCTCAGAATTCTTAGTATTCTTAGTTCCATCTTACAGGTGAGATGAATCCTAACCATGGATTGATGCTAAACCCATGGGCAGGATGCAGTTCATAGAGGGGGGCTACTAGTAGACTATGGGGGGTTATAATTTCAGAATTCTGCATTGGGCTGCAGTGTATTTCTCCATTTCTCCATATTTTATATTCTCAACACATGAGGATTTTGGATGTGATTAGGGTGTCATTCGGTAAAGTGTTTATCTCATGGATGGACCATTTCCATTCATGCCACAGGATGAATTCCCTGTTCCATAGGCATATCGGTCCTGTCTATACCCCAAATTATCGTCGATAGTATTTTCTCGTGGAGGGGGTCAGTCTACGGTTCATTTTTGATATCTTACTTCACATCACCCTCTAAACCTACCATTGAAGGTCTCTACCGCCAAAGATTTTTTTTGCTATGCTCTACCAAGTCTCTCTACCATCGATATGCCGTTAGATTTGTCAGAAACAGATTTGTTAGAATGTCTCCACCGCTGGTATATTATTTTCATTTCTTTAAATATTAATTTTAAATTTTTTATTAATAAAATAATATTTTTTATTTTTTAAATGATTTTATTATCATTTTTCTTGAAATTAATATTTTTTTAGTTAATATTGAATTGCCAAAGCTTTTCTTTTCAATTTGTTTATCATATAAATTATATAAATTAGACATTTTATGATTGACTGTATAGATTATTTCATAAATTGAATATAAGATATATGGAATCAAAAAGTGTAGTGCGCCTATAGAACACCACTATGGGTGCATAGTTTGTCTATAGTTTAGAATAGTTGCAGACTATGGTGTAGTATGGATTATTGGTCATTGCCATAGGGTATGGTGTGGAACAGTCCACACTCACTAATTTCTCATCCACGCTACAAAACACTCCCTATATATACTTAGAATTTCAATTTTCTTTAAATAAAGTATATTATTATTATTATTATATAAATTCTGCCTATATTATTTATCTATTTAACTATCTTTATCAAATATAATATTTTTTTTTTCTGGGGCAATAGATTTTTCTTGTTTGTGCTTTTGGTAAGCAAAACGAAGTTTGTTCTCATTCTAACTCGTATTTGGTTTAGTGATGCAAACTGTGGTCCTTTATACAATTGAAATGTAAGAGAACATCAAAGTTATCACTAGATTTTCAGGCATCAATGAGTACCTACAGAGATAAACAAGAAGTATAACTTTTGGAGGTTTGATAATTAATGTGATCTTTGGTTGAAATTTATGACAATTTGACGCTCTTCATCCATTCATCTATAATTTGAATCAAAATTGTTTTATTGCACACGGATTGAGCTTTTCCTAAAATTTGAATGAACCCTAGCCAAGCATGATAGTCGACTGTTTTTCACAATTAATCGAGCTGGATGGCATCTTCCAGGTACTAAAAGTTAAAGCTTTTTTTTTTTTTTTCTCTTAAAATCTTTATTGCTATGATCCAAGGGCTAGTAGAAAAAAAGGTTTCCTTTGATGTTTTGTTATGCAATCAATGCATGCATGGTGCCGAGTAAAATCTGTTGATATTGACATTGATGGCATCATTCTGGATGAAAGGGGAGAAGGGGAAAAGGGAAGTATGATGTATGTTGTCATGTTATAGAGAATCAGAGATGGTCTCTTCTTACTGTTACATTTTGATAGAGCCTGAGTCTTCCATATTGTAAAACTAGCTTCTAATCACCCTGTCCAATTTTAATCAATGCAACCCCAAAAATGGAAGGACATCATCCAAGGCCTTTCAAGTTTGAGCTAGCCCGATGCGCCCATGAGAGGTTTAATTCGATTGTGAAGGAAACTTGGATGAAAAGAAGTGGTTTCTCAAATGTTCCAACTGCCAAAATTTGTATATAGGGTCTAAAGGATAGTGCCTTAAGAGGGGAATTAAAAAAAATCTTGGGAATATTTCAAAAAATATTGAGAACATTGGAGCTAAAGTTGAACAATGTTCTTGGGATGCTAATAGTAATGAGAATGCAAGTAGAAAGAAAAGACTTAGAAAAGAGACCAAATTCGAAGCCATTAAGAGAAAAAATCCTTTGGTCACAAAAGTCAAAGATGAAATGGCTGAAATGGAACACAAAGATTTTTTCATGTCACTACGATTCAAAGGAGTAGGAAACATATTGATAGGCTCATGGATAGTAATGGAAATTGGGTGGATGAGCATGAAAGAATTAGCAATATTGTTTGAGACTTCTTCCCTGACTTTTTTTATGAGTCGCTCGCCGAATGACAATAACGTTACCATAGATAAGCTACTACCGTTCGAGTTGAAGATTTAAACAAGGTAAATGAATCCTCACAAAACCCTAGGTCCCAATAGGCTGTCAATGTTTTTATTTCAAAAGTATTAGAGCTTAGTTGGTCCTTTTAAGATCTAATCAGTAAAAGAAATTTTTAGATCAAGAAGTCTGTTGAAATTAAAAAAGGCTAATAAAAAGTAATTAAATAAGTAATAATAGAGTAAATTACACGGTCCTTTGTACTATGGAATCTCTGACAAAGAGCCCACGCATTGTACTTATTGTTAATAAGTATTATTAGTTTAAAGCAAGTAAAACAAAATAACTAGTAACCAATTGTTTAGGGCAATAGGGCCCAACCAGTCGATTTGCATGCTTGGTTGCAGGTCATTGGCCACTTTGAGGCCGGGTTATGCCTAATATGTCAAGCTAAATGGCTAGGTTGAGCCTGTATGTCTAGCCCCAATGGTTGGATCACCGGTTCAGAGTAGGCCTATGCCCGCGCCTAGGGGTGTCAATGGACCGGTTTTGGGTTGGATTCCGTCCAAATCAAAATCCATTTAGACGGATTGGACGGACCAATAAGACATATTGAATTTGGACGGATTGGATGGATCAGTCCATCCATAATGAATTTATATTGGATTGAACCAATATTTGGTCCATTGATAGAAGATAAGAACATAGGTGTCAATGGACCAAGTTTGAGTTGAAACCAATCTAAATGAACAGGAATTTGAACAGATTGAATAGTCTCTGGACCGGTCCAAAATGGTCCAAAATATTCATTGGACTGGATTGGACCAGGTCCATTTGTAATGGACTCACATTGGACTGGACTGGATTAGACCAAATCCAGTCCAATTGACACCCTTAGGCCCGCCTAATACCCCTATGGATTATACATTATTGCACTAAACTAACAGCCTGCCTGTTTGGGAGGGTTGAAGGCTAAAGGGCAGGCGCTTCTCGCTTTCCAAGGTGGGCCTTGCAATAACATAAAAGCTATTATGGCGAAAAATCGAAATAACCCAAATCAACTGTCGATCAGTTAATTTTTGGGTTGTTTGATTCAATCTCTAGTTTAAGTGTTTAAAAGCACTTTAACCAGGTTTTCATTTCATCCCTACTGATGTTGTTCGATTTGAAGTGTTTTGAATCGAGGATACAATTAAATAGTCTTATCAATTGGATGAGGCCGAGGTGGGAGGATGAAGTCGTGCATCGAGATCTGCAACCAAGAGAAAAGTCAGAGGCCCGAGGACTTGTTCCCTGGGTAGGCACTCCAATGCTTAAGTCAATAAAGAAGGATGTGGCCGGGACAAGCAGGTTGAAATAGCGCTAGTTGAGGAACTTTAGTTTCTTTGAGTTGAGTGGCCTAGAGTAAGACCGGTTCTCTAGGCAGACTGATTGGTTCAACACTCCTACCATTTCCGTTATGGGTCAACAAACACATCGTTTCGTCTTCCCGAGGTCACGTGCATACGAGGTGCGGCGTCGAATCGACACCGTTGATTTGAGCTGATCTGGACCATTGGTCGCCCCTATAAAAGGTGAAGTGGCGAGCCATTTTACATTGTCATTTTGAGTGAGCGATCATAGGAGTTCGACGAGATTTAGTCCTCGGCTAGTGC